AGCACCATGCTCTCCTCTATTAGGCGGACACAACTACTGACAGCCTTCCCTGTGTCCAATGCCAGTCCCGGAACTAGCCAGGGAAGAAGGAGAAGCCATCATTTCCCCCCTCCAGGGGCCTGTCTGGGTGGCATGGGGTTAGGGAGGAGCCACGGGGGGAAAAGGCTCAGCTCCCGGGGTTCCCGTGAGGGCTGACACAGTGACTGATGGTGACAAAGTGAGTCCAGCACACAAACTGGAAAAAGGAGAAATGTCTGCCACCCTCCCGTTTCTAGTATTCTCTCCCATATTTAGAAGACTTCAGTCCATCCAGTGTTCTTTTGTTTTGAAAAAACTCCCAGAAATAGAAACGAGGCATTTGATACAATGAAGAGGTCGCTACAGGCACTCAGAAGCAAGGGCTGGGATCTGAAGGGCCCTGTCAGGAAAAAGAAGCCCCTCGGACCCGATCCTGCGTGTGGGGCCGGGGAGCTGCGAGAAGCCAATGGCAGCTCCAGCCTGAGACCCTGCCTGGCGCTGTGCACAGCGGTGACAGCTATCAGCACCAGCTCCGTCAGAGGGCCCCCTTCCTGCTGGCGGTGTGGACTTGGGAAATTCCCCTGACCTTTCCGTTTCCTCTTTATCTGCAAGTGGAGATCACCAAGCCTCATGAGGTGGTGGCCAGGACTGGGGAAGGCGCCACAGGAAACGGTTGGCAAGGCAGACACGGGGGGAGGGGGAGGGGATTGGGAAATGCTACCTACAGTGACTGTGACTAGCACCACAGCTGCAGGCCCAGCAGTGTGAGCTCAGCTCAGCTCAGCTCAGCTCAGGGCTAAGGGCAGCAGAGACAAGAAGGCTACACACCCAGGCACCGCAGATGAGGAAAAAGATGCGAGGATCAGAAAGGATGCTGCTTTCTTTCATAAGCTCTACCACACTAACACAGACATGAAAGATTGGGGTCAAAATTTAAAACAAATCCTCATTACCGTCATTTACGGTTCATTAGGTCTTTATTACAAAGTAGCTGTTCTTCAGATTCAAGGCAAAACTGCTTTAAAGCGAAGTTATCGATACAGCCTTAAGGAGGAAACCACTGCAACGCTGCCCTCCCTCCTGGCCCCCACGAATGAGTGGGTCTCGGAACACACACCTGTGTCCTGGGGTTCTTGTTTGTTTTGGAGCTGGGCGGGGGAGTGGGGACTTTAGGGTTGGTCTGCGGCCATATGCCCGGCAATTGTGAATGATTAAATTTTGGATGTAGTCAAAGTAATCCTTTGTTTAACTCAGGAGAAAGAAGTTAATTTACTTAAGTTTACCTAGATAGTTTGAATAATGAAAGTCCTAGTAAATCCATTCCATAAAAATAAGTGTCTTTATTCAAAAAAGAGAACCTTATCGAGTTAAAACAGTGAGGCAATAAAAGCTCTCTCCTGCCGAAACCGGTTTGGCTCAATGGATAGAGCGTCGGCCTGCGGACTGAAAGGTCTCAGGTTCGATTCCGGTCAAGGGCACGTACCTGGGTTGCGGGCACATCCCCAGTGGGAGGTGTGCAGGAGGCAGCTGGTCGATGTATTTCTCTCATTGACGTTTATAACTCTCTATCCCTCTCAATTCCTCTCTGTGTAAAAATCAATAAAATATATATTAAAAAAAAAAAAAAGCTCTCTCCTGCCTACCCCACAACCGAGGTACAGCAGGATACACCAGGCGGATATACCAGGCGTATTCCCTCACAGGTTAGTAATTTACACCTACAGCCCAGGGCCTCCGGGATCAACATTCGCAAACCCGAACGGAGATTTTGGAAACTGGCATGTGAGTAACCAGTCATACACGCTTCCTCTCTGAGTCACGCAGCCGGCTTGTCAGGGATAAGGCATTCCTCTCGAACATTGCCTTTTGAGGAGCAAGCACATCATACCAACAGCAACCTCACAGACCTGTACAAACAAGATAAGGCCCTCACGCCAACAGGTAACAGTCCAATCAGCTTCGAGAGAAAACAGTGTTGCAACTATAAATAACTGGATTTCCTGTGCTCAGCAGAAAAGAGGCAGTTTAGACTGCAGGGTTTGAAAGTTTTTTGTTTTTTTTTTTTACTGAGGAGGCTTCCGCTCCGTGACATTATTTCTGGCTGCACAGAAACTAACTCTTAAAGAAAAAGGGAAATTTAAGACCCCATCTTTGCCCTCGTGGGACACTCTTAATATGTGAGAAAAGACCTAACTTAGTGTTTCTATAATGTGACTGCTTGAGGAAGTGGCCCATCTAAAACAAACCATGGGCTCTCAGGACTCGACTGTCTTCAGCTGAGCCCTGGCAGGCCCCGCCCAGAGCACCGCCTGGTCCCCGCATTCGTCCCCACTCCCACTCAGGTAGGCACCCTGGCACCGGTACCTAGTGAGATGGGGCTTGGGAGACCCTGCCCCCGCTCTACCCAGACAGCCTCTCTCTGGACAGGACTGATGTTTGTCAGCTCATGCTAGTCAGGATGTGGAAAGCAACCAGAGGTGACACAACCCCTCTAAAACATGGGAAGTTACAAAAGTGAGAGAAGTGCGTGGTTTCCACACTGCCCCTCCCACGGCTGGCACCTACTGTCATGAAGGAGCTGGGCTCCCGCCCTTGTCCTGCTGTTTGCTTTGCCAAGTGAAGTGGAGCTTGGCAATCCTGCTTCCTCCTGCCAACCCTGGCTCTCCTCTGGCACTGGGGTGGCCCCCAGCCCTCCTTCCCCACTGCAGACCCCAGTTCCCAGGACAACAGGGTCACTTTCTGGAGGACACAACCGGAGCCAAACGAACAGCAGGAAAAGCCCAGAGGCCTCCAGCCGGAACACTGCCGCTCCCAGGGCGGCTGCGGGGTGACTCCCTTCTACGGCTGCTCCCCGCCTCACTCTCCAAGAGTGTTTGCTATCATTTACTAAAAACAACCCTCACACAGGTTCACAGTTGCTTACTGGAAATCCCGGAACCAGGTATGTGTCAGGCTTCAACTAGAAAGGCCACCATCCATTCTGCCACAATCCTGAGTTACACCCTTTAACCAAGACCGTTAACGGGGCTGCAGAGAAATGTATGGGTGTTTACACACACAGAGGTCAAGACTGAAAAGTCGCCCACCAGCCAGGGCAGGTCTCACTGCCAAATGAATTCTGCCACAAACGTACCCAAAAAAGCAACAACTTTTGGTTTTTCAGAACTTACTGGATCCTGGAATTGGTAGGGCAGCGATTTTCAACCTTTTCCATCCCATGGCACAGCATATATTAATTACTAAAATTCTGCGGCTCACCAAAATACGTATTTTCTGCCAATCTGACGAAAAAAAAAGTCAGTGTGCTTTTGATTCATGCACACTGGAGGGCTATTGTTGTATGGACTGCTATTATGTTTAAATTTGATAATCTAAGGGAGAGCAGGTCAGTGCCCCTGATCAAACAGGTATTGCATGTTTCAAAACTTCTTGCGGCACACGGACTAAACACTGGACTGAACATTGCTGGACGGGGGGATGGTGGGCCAGTGAGGATGAAGCACCTCCTCACTCAGGGCCCGGTCCAGACTCCCCTCTCCCCTATTTCTATGAAGCAGGCGTCTCACCCCGACCCAGTCAAGGGTTACGGTACGTGAAGGGTTAAGGAGACTTTTCAGCCTGGGATTCCGGAGCCAGGTACTATTTCTACTCGTTCCTCTGAGGGACAGGTCCCTCCCTTCCTCACATCCCCGTTCTCCACGCTTACTCTTTTCTTCTTCAAAAAGTCCCCGCCCAGAGTTCCTTCCTCTGAGCCAGAATCTCGCCAGGATTAACATCATCGGTCCTGGCCATCTAAGGCTTGCCTGGATGGCTCCTCCGGAACGCCGGCCTCTAGCCGCATTCCGCCCTTCCTTCTCCAAGGGCCCTTCCCTGACGGGGATTCCAGGTCTCTCTGCAGGTTCCCAGGTCCCTAAACCCACTGGGTTAAGGGGTAGGAACCAGTGGCAAAGGTCTGGCCCACAGCGGAAGGTTTATATGAGGTCACTGAAGCAACACAGTAAAATGGACACTAAGAACCCACCTGACCATCCTCAGCAAGGAAGTTAACTCCCAAGGGCACACTTCTCTGGTGCTTACCTACTGAGACACTCCTTCAAGGTAAGGACAGTCTTTTCGTTCAGAACTCCCCACAAACACCCAGCAGGTGGTTAATACCTACCTGGTGAAGGAGTGATTGTTTTGGACTCAAGTTCTTTGTAGTATAAACTTCAAACATTGTTACATGTTTGTTTACAAAGTGCATCCATCCTCTCACCTTTAGATATTCAGGACCAACCCCAAGCCTCAGGGCAGTGAGTAATTACCAACCTTCCCTACCCCACTCCAGTCCAATTTTCACCCAAATACCCCACATCCATGAGTGTTAAGCCAGATAACTGTGAATTCCTGCAGGGTCCTGTCCAGACCCCCGGATCCCAGGAGACAGGCCAGAGTCTATTTGGGGACTGGAGTCCTTGGGGGAGGGACCCTCGGATCCCAGGAGACCGGCCAGAGTCTATTTGGGGACTGGGGTCCTTGGGGGAGGAGGAGAAGTCCTGTTCGGGTCGAAGGTCCAGAGCAGGATAAGTGCTCAGAACCGCCCAGGTCCCGGCTCTGGACACCAGTTCTTAGCGCTGTATTTTGTAAAATACCAAACTACCAGCTTGGAGGGACCCTCTAGCTAAACACTCGAGTCCAGAGTCCAGCCAGAGCGCGGGTCTCAGGCCTCCGCCCGGCCACACAGCTGGCAGGTCCCTTCGCCCCGGGCGCCGTCCAATGAAACCTGCTCTCCTCGCAGGAGGAGCGGGACGCACCAAACGCGGAGCGGGCCGCCCCCCTCCCCCCCGCACATCCTCGCGTGGGGGGGGGCTTCCTTTCAGGGGACCCCGGCCAGGCGGAGCCCACCCCACATCGGTGCAGCCAAAGGTGCCCACGGCCATGGACCTTAGACGTAGTCCACAAGGACCCAACGCCCGCAGCCAGAAGCGGAAGTTTCCCCTTACCAGCTTCTGAGCTTCTGGGCTCAGGCAGTCTATTTCCTTGTTCTGCGTGGCCGCCGGGTTGGTCATCCTGCCGGCCGCACGTCCCACTCCGCTCACCGCCGGGGAAGGTCCGGGATCTCAGGGATCGCGGGCTGTCGGGTCCGCGGGCGCAGGCTCTCAGCTCAGCTGCATCCCCCGCGCGGCGGCTCAGCCCACAGACGGCCCCGCGACGGCCCGGACGCGCCCTTCCCCAGGCGGAGGCGCCCTCCCCGCTTCCCGGCTCGGGCGGGCGCGGCCGCATGGGCGTGACGCAGGTGGCCCGGCCGGTGGGGGGGCCCCCGGGGCAGAGGCGCGGCCTTCCCCGCGCGCCCCGCCCCGACGGCCCCGCCCCCGTCCGCGCCCCACCTCCACCCTCGACCTGCCCGCCCCGTCCTCCGAGCGCGCCCCTCCCCGCGTCCCAGCTGCGGGTTATCCATCACCCGGGAATCCACCGGAAGGCGGGGGGTGTGTGTGGGGAGGGGGACGGGGGCCTAAAGGACACAGCCGGCCCCGCCCACAGGCGCGGGGAGGGCGGGTGGAGAGGCTGTGGGAAAAGAAAGCTGGCGGGGACCGCGCGGGGCAGGGTTCCGCTTGGGGCTCATGGGGGGCGGGGCCTATGGGGCGGGGCGAGCTGCCTCCGAACCCCCAACTCCAATCCCCGCCGTCCGCACCGCCGGCCGGCCCCCCGCGGGCTACAGTCCTGCGGGCTACACCCCGCGACGTCCTCCAAACTCAGGCCAACGGGAGCAGCTACGGACCTGGCAGCCTCAGCCCCAGCCCAGCACCACCTGCCGGCCGGGGACCCCCGTGAACGCGTCTCCCCGAAAGGGGCCGGCTTGCAGGACAACGAAAGTGCGCGGCCCACGGGGGTGAGAGCAAGCGCCCCGGGCCTGCCCTCGCCCGCCTCCCTGTCGGCCAGCCGGGGACGGCGGAGAACGCAGAGCCAGTGTTCCGCACGGATCCGGTGGCTCAGAGCCGGGGCGTGTGGCCTAGGGTCTGGCCGGGACGGCCTGCGGGCAGGAGCCCGGCGGGGAGGGCATGGGGAGGAGGCGTCCCCGTGCGGGTCCGGAGCCCAACCTCTCCGCGCGCCCCTCCCGCCGCAGGACGCAGGACGCAGGACGCAGGACATGCGCTGCCCCGTCTTTAAAAGTCCTGCAGACAAAGCAGCCAGTCCTCGCCAGGCTCGGCAGGAGCAACAGGACATCCTCACATTTATCAGAAAGGCTGCCTGTTCTGACACGTGTTTGAAAGACCCTCTCAGAAAAGCCACCTTCCCGCCTCCCAACGGGAACTTCCTGCAGAGTCGCTTGGCCTCATTCTCTGTAAAGGCAGCTCCAGAATCATCGAGAGATCGCAAATCCACATTTAAATGCTACAGCCACCCAATGTCCCACTCCCCGCCCCACCCAGTTCTGGGTAACACGTTAGGGCATGACTTTCCCACTCACCTTCCCACTGTGTGCAGGGGGCCCCGCGCACGTGGCTTGGGTTCTGGGGGCGGAGCTCGGGAAGGATGGGGGGGGGGGGGCAGCAGAGGAGGCTCTGAGGGACTGGAGGGCCTAACCCAGGAGGGGTAGGGGCGACAGAAAAGAGGCGGAGTAAAGGCCCGGAGTGGCCGCTGTGGGAGAAATTCTGCAGGTTTCAACCCTGCTTAAGGTGAACAGCACCAAGCTTTGATGGGTAGCACATCCTGGGGCCCATAAAAATGAATTTTAAAGAGGTTGAAATGCCTTTTATTGCCTGATTTTCTTGCTCTGACACTTTAACATATATTCATGGATTACAGTTCTTGGCTCTACGAAATTAAATGAATTGGAGAAAATAATTCTAAACGGCTCTACATGAACAACTATAGGACTTGGGGAATTGATCACAAAAAGCAATTTGAATTTTAGCAGAGGAACAACTCTGCAGATGAGAATGGTAGCCTGCCATGAAGGAAGCTGCCTTCTTGGAGACTTTGGTGTGAATATTCCCACCAAGACAGGCAAACGTTCGAGCTATGTGCCACCCAAACCCTGTGACCACATGCCCCCGAGCAGGGCTCATGGAGCAGGCCCCGAGGAAAACTGCTGTGCACCCGCCAATCCCAGGGGGCCACCCAGGGAAGGGACTAGGCGGCTCTGACCCTTACTATGGGATGCTGAGCAAGTTACCTTGCCCTGCATCTCCAGTCCCATCTGAAACATGCCCATGATGGAAGTGCCCGCAGTGGGGGCGGATGGGAGACACACACATCTTCACCTGCCTTGCTGGCTCTGAGCCCACTCTCTTCCCTCTGCTCCCAGAAGTCCCCACCCAAGGCGCTTGCCGCAGGAAGGAAGCTGGCAACCCTGGGCTCAAATGGCATGACCAGGACAGACTGGCAGCCCATGGGGAGAACAAACCCAGAGCCCCCACAGAAGCTGCGGAAACTAGCTAATTTCAGTTCCAGGAACAAACTACCAGCAATACAATAATAATGGTGCACAAGAGATGTCTTATTCCACTGAGTGTAGCATATTAGGGAAAACTGCTATTCTAACTTGCTTCTAGACCAGCAATTTTCTACTATTTTCATCTCGTGGCACACATAAACTAATTACTAAAATCCTTCGGCACAACAACAACAACTACAACAAAATGCTTTTTTTGTTGTTGTTGCTGATCTGACCAAAAAAATAGGTATAATACTGATTCATTCGCACTGGACAGCTATTGTTGTGTTGGCTGTTGTCATTTGTTTATTTGACAATCTAAGGGAAAATAGGTAAACCCTTGATTAAATAGGTTTTAAAAATTCTTGTGGCACATGGGTTGAAAGTCGCTCTTCTAGTTGGGAAGCTGCTACATTCTGATGTGTGTTAGCCCAGCCATTCCTGTGCCGTGGCTGAGCCTCAAACCATAGGACCACGCATGTGATGCGTGGAGTGCTGAACTCACGCTTCTTGGGTTTATTATTTAGACTCCAGCCCCCGAGAATAAAGTGGAGAGGGCCTAGTTGCCTTCTGTTACTTTTTATATAAACAGTTCTCTCATGAAAAGGGGCCCCTCATTGAAGCCCCCTGCTAGGGCATGCCTTTCTCTCCTTTTTATTTTTACCGATAGCAAGGCCACTTGTGAGGATGATTAATGAGTGACTGGTGGAACCCACAAATTTGGTTTCTTGGGAAAATCCACTAGAAAGTCGAAGGAAGGGGCGTGGCTGTGCAAAGGGACATTGTGTTGCGTGAGAATCAGGGAGGGGCACAACATTTTCACCCCAGTTCTCACAGCTCTGAAGGCTGCATGGCAGAATAACACAAACACTTTACCTCGAAGAAAGCAAAACTAAAACCACCTGAGAGAATCAGATGAGAAGAAACCAGACAAGAAGCCCTGGGTTTCCATCCTTAGAAGGTCAACAGAACCTGGTGTGGTGTGAGCAGCATGGCGGGGAGGGGTGTTCAGTGAGAAGGTGACCACACAGCTGGACCGCTCCAGCGTGGGCCTGGGGTCTCTTCATAAAGAGCTTCAAGGTCAATGCCACAGGTTCAGTTTTGTCTCCTTTTGGTCAGTATGCCAATTCTAACAGGTGGACTCTAATTTCTGGCCCCTTACATGCTGCCGAGCAGTTATTGACCTTTTCACACACAGCCGCTATTTCAGCCCAGGGACTCTGTGCTAAGAGGGCCCCTGAGGTTTTGGGGAAGCTCTGACTGTCTTAAGCATTCCTAAAAGCCTCCGTGCTTGTGCCTTCTCAATCAGAATTAAAGGTCCCAAATCTAAAAATAAAAATAGTAATAATAATAATAATAATAAAAGGCAGTTCTCTGATGTGCAAAACTTTATTTCTTTCCTGAGAAAAGAACAAAATAATAGAATGATCTAATTTTGTTCTGGGAACATGAGACTCCTAGCTAACCAGCAAATGCCAGAACAGTTAACCAATTTGGGGCCACACCCAAGCTGGGCTGACTGGTCTCCATGGTGCTGGTCGGTTGCTAGGTTCCCTCCTTCGCCTCCTGCTGTGGTTTGGTGCTAAGCGCTAGAGCTAAGACAAACCCTCTGAGAGGTCCTCCCGCTGACGGTTCCTCACCGCCCCATGAGTCAGATAACTGACACAAAACCATTTTCTCTAAATCACAGCCGGGACATCTGTTTTCCATGGATCACTAGCCATGTTGGTGACAGCAGAATAAGCTTATCTTATTATAAACAGTATATTATTACTTTATTACTTCTGCAGACAGTTACATTATTACTTTATGTGGAACCTTTGACTGGTATGAAAAAACACTCCTTGCCCTAGCCGGTTTCACTCAGTAGATAGAGCATCAGCCTGCGGACTGAAGGGTCCTGGGTTCCATTCCGGTCAAGGGCACATGCCTGGGTTGCGGACTCGATCCCCAGTTGGGGGTTGTGCAGGAGGCAGCTGATCAATGATTCTCTCTCGTCACTGATGTTTCCATCTCTCTCTTCCCTCTTCCTTCCTCTCTGAAATCAATAAAAGTATATTAAATAAACAACAAAAAAGCACTCATGATAAAGATGTTCATGAAATGATCACCCAGGCCCACACTGCACCCCAGTTTACAAAACACTTCACACATACAGGGAGGCTCACAGAAGTTGTCTAACTTGTCACAGACACGTGTGGGAAGAAGGAAGCCAGGCTTTTAACCCAGGGCCCCACTCATGGCCCTAAGGGCTTAGCACCCAGGACATGGTCTGACACAGAATTGTCCCTCCCCACACCCAGCCAGCCAGCCAGGGGTTCTCACTGGGAACAGTCAACAGACAGGCTTGGGAGTGGCCTTAGCCACCTCCCTGAGCTTAGCCTGGACCGAGGGCTTTGGCAAAGCAATGCCCACACCCAGGAAGCCCTGGGCCATTGGTAGGTGCGTTGGATGGGAGAGCTGTCTGCAGAGAAAGCTATCCACATGGTCAGCTGGCCCAGCTCAGGCCCACAGTGAGCTTGATCTTTGGGCCAGGATCCAGTGGACAAAGCATCCGGGAGCAGGAGTGGCTAAAAAGCACAGTGAGCTTGCTTCTAGCATTAAACAGCTCCTGCTAACTGAGCCCGTCCCAGTGCTGGGATGTCACACAGGCTTCATCCTTAGGGCTGCAATGACCCATGCTCCCTCTCCCCTCCTCCCAGACTATGAGGGGGCTCTTCCGGTATGGGGGCATGTTCTCACCACTCCATATATGATGGTGGATGGATGATTCTCCTAATAAAATGAGGCCTTTGGTAGGTCATCATTAACTCTCATCAATCTCAACTATTTCATATTTTTGTAGCAACTGGGAATGGAAGCGCTCTTTTAAAAAGGGCACCCCATGCTTTGGCCAGTGTGGCTCAGTTGGTTGGGTTTCATCCTTTGCACCAAAGGTTGCCGGTTTGAATCTCCATCAGGGCACATGCCCAGGTTGCGGGCTCGATCCCTAATGGAGGGCGTGCAGGAGGCAGCCAGTTGATGTTTGACTCTCACATCGATGTCTCTCTCTCTCTCTCTCTCTCTCTCTCTCTCTCTCTCTCTCTCTCTCTCTCTCCTTCTTCTTCCTCTTCCTTCCTTTCTCTCTCAATAAAAATTAAAAAGTGGCAAGTCTTTAGGAATGGCTACTCAGCTCCCAGCACCTCACCACACTTCTTCTTTATCCAGATTTAAAAGAAACTCCCTTTGGACTTTTTAAGGAAGGTGAAGAGTGGGCGATTTCATTGGACTGAATCTGAGCCGGTGGCAGAGAGCAGGGTGCAGGTGTCCCAGGCACTTTACCCAGAAACACAAACTGGTGTAAGATGATGATGAAAGTGGTAGCATGCCCGGAAGAGAAGGAGGCTTGGATGCCTACGTTTATTGAGTAAGAGGTATGTCAGGAACAAGCCAAGACAGACAGGATGGTTAGAGGAACAGAAAACAGAGGTGTCTCCTGGCAGCCAGCTCTCACCCACGTTCCTGGAGGCTGGTGTGAGCAGGGGAGCTGAACAATGCAGGTGAAGTGGAGAGCCAGCACTGAGTTTGCAGCCAGAAAAGCCTGGGCTATTGCGTTCTGCTGTTAAAATTCTACAAAGAAATGTTTTCAACAACATGGTGGATGGCAGTCCGAGAGGAAGGCAGGCTATGGGAGGGCTCTGAGGTGCGTGGAGATTTGTTCATTTGTCTGTCCGTTTGTAAGGATGGGAAAGACCCAGCGGCACCTGCTTGGTGGTTGAGAAGTAGGAGTCCGAGGAGAGAGGAAACAGTGAGGTGGGGGTGGGGAGGGCCCGAGAGGGGCCCGTGACTAAGGGTGGGGCGTGGATGGACTCCCAGGATTCTGAGCTAAATGGAGATGAGAAAGCCAAAGTGGGCAGAAGAGGACGGATGACGAGCAGAGCCATCTGTAGCAGGGACTGTGGCCTGGAGCTGAGGGAGGATGACAAGCAGGTGGAACAGAAATGGAAGGACCCATCATAGAGCTGCCTCAGACCCAGCCCGGGAACAGTTTTCAGATTCTGAGCAGAACCCTTGGGTGCAGTTCCAGCAAGCCCAAAAATGCAGCCACGGGGTAAAATCGGACCCACACGTAGAACAATTTCTGATAGATTTTACTCTGGAATTCAGTTCAACTCTAAAGGGTCCAGGAATGAGTCCATAGCGACCTGGAGAACAAATGTACCAAGTTTGCCAATCTGGTCCTCAGAACCGGGGCCCTTAAAGCCTGGCCAGAGTGATCACAGAAACATCCCCCCTGTATCGTCACTGAGGAACCGGCCACAAACAGCTCGAGGGCGTCTCTCAGGCCAATCAAGGTCAGTCTCTCATGAACACAGTGCACTGCGAGTGTCAGCTGATGATGTTCTGACACTACTGAGAACAAAACAGCTGAAACGCACTTTGTATTTCTCAGTCATACAGGAACACTCTGAAAAGCCCCCCAAATGAACTCTCATCCAAAGAGAACAACCTACAGACGCTGTCAGAGCAGTCCTTTTAAAATGATTTTGATCGGAATGGATAGTGACTTAGGAAAGCCAGCTTTATTCCCAAACACCGTATTCACCAGCCAATGGGGCACCCCACTGAGAAGAGAGAAATAAATGGAATAGAAAACGATGATTAAAAAAAGAAAGCCACACCCACTGGTTTGGCTGGGCCTCAGGAAGCCTGCCTGTGAGTGCAGTGCTCTGGGACAGACTGCATGCTCCTCGCAGCCAGCTCTCCGACACAGACCTTCGCCCGGCTAGCTGGAAAGTCCCGAAACAGCCATGTCTACTGGTGTAACTGACAGCTGCCATTCACAGAAAGGGAGTGTGGGGGACACAGGGCCTTGTGATCTGAATTTCAGCAGCCCCCATAGCAAACAGGGAAAGCAAAAGGCACTGAGGATGAATTCTGAGGCTTAAAAAACCAGGCACACTTGCTGAGCAGCTGGACTTGAAGACGAGCTGACTCAGGGGCAGACCAAGGCATCAGGAGGAGCAAGCAACCTCCTTCCCACTGTGTGCAAGTCCGACAACAGCACCCCTATAGCAGTCTTTCTAAGAAAAGGAATTTTCCTAAAGGGGGAAAAAACAACTGCTACCCACTTTGGCACAGAGCTACCAACACATGCCCACACCCAAGTGTGAGGGGTTTTCCTCTGCAGTCTAGTCCCTGAGATGCAGTTCAGAGAAACGTCAGCCACCATTCGAGGCCAGATTACGAGCGGTCTGCCGTTCACCTTCTTCGTTAACAGTTGTATGAACAAGTCGATACCTTAAGACATGAGAGAAGAATATAAAAGCCTTACCTTTAAAAAACGAAGATTTTAGACGATCTTCACAGGAAGGTTGAGGACAAGTGGAGAATGGCAGTCTGGAGAGACATGCTTGGCCTGAGAGTGGAAATTCTGGAATAACTGGAGATCAAATAGCCACTCTGACCACGTCATCTCTGAGTACCAGCAGAGAGGTCCAGTAAACGCACCTTTTTACTCTACCTTGCCGGGCGGCTCGGACCCGCCTTCGACTCACGGAAGGTGTGGTCCCGAGCCCACTACAGTTTTCCAAGGGCTTCTCCTCACCAAGGGGTTCGACTTGAGCTACTCAGACGGCATTGGAGCCGGTCCTCTTATCCTCACTGCCTCGGAGCATCCCTGTTAAGTGTGGGATTGGACTTTATGGGGAAATATAAACACAGAGCAGGATTTCCCAGCCTTGCACTGCTGACTTCGTGGGCCAATAATTCTTTGCGGAGACGCCTGTTCTGAGCCGCAGCAGCCTGTTCTCACATACTCATCATGACAACCCAGCGTCTCTCCAGACATTGCCCACGGTCGGTCCCCTGGGAGACACAGTGGTCCCCATGGAGGACACCTGCTCTGGAGGGACTTGCACCTTTCCCCACGTGCCCACGTTGTACAAGCAGGTTGACTTACCAGCTGTACAGGGAAGTCATGCAAACCCATAGCTAAACATGCCCAGAGATGGGGGTCAAGGTGGAAATATTTCAACACATCATCTAATCTTGGTGGCCCGAGTTTTCACTCCTGAAGAGCTCCAAGTGCATCTAAGAACTCCGAGTCCCCGAGTTCCTGCGGTCAGGGGTCGGGCAGAGCAGGAAGGCGGGCATCCCATCCTCAGAGAGGAAGGGGCATCCCAGCCTCAGGGATAGGAAGGGGCTGCAAGGTGGGTAGAGAGCTGAGCTCAGGGGCCACACGGTCACGTCAGGGCTGAGCGTGTGATCGCAGAGGTGGGCTGTAAGCAACAAGATCAGATACCTGGTCGCTGGAGGCCACCTGCAGGGTCCACACTGAGAACGGGGGTGGCT